ACACCACTTCATGGGCGAGACCGCAATCAGTCAGTGGCAAGATTGTGTTTAAAGCCAGACGACTAACAAGCAGACAAGGAATTTGGATTTGAAATTGCGGTCTGCAGCGTCCACGATATTCCCGAATGTCGCCAACCATGTTTGCAAGATGGTTGGTTAAACTCAACACTTCCAAGCCAGATGCCACAATTGGTAGATGTTTTGTGGCTGACAACGTATCGGGAATCCCGGTTTATGCATTTCCAATACAGAGATCGCATCTGATTGGATGAATGACGCTGTTGTGAAGAGGGATGTAAGGGTTGGGTGCATGTTGGGTGGGAGTTGGTGCGTGTAATCCAAACCACTGATGACTGGTCTGAGGGCATTGGCTGACCGCGATAAATAACGCGGGGGACTGCATGAATCAAGTAACTGATCCTCGTGGTGATAAATGGCGTCTACACAGCTTCCTAATTAGACAAGTCGGTGTTAGACGGATGTACGGAGTGTGGAATGCTTCGTGCGAATTAGCTATTATCTAATCTGATCGAAACTTATCAAGTGGTTGATTTCAATGCATTATAATAAGTGCTATATCTTTAATTTAGCTTGAAATAAGTATTGTGTAGTAAAGGAGAAAAAAATACGACCATATTATACATGAAATCACATTTGGTAAAATTTTAATTATTTCTAACTACCTCTTTCGACCTTTGTGTTACTGAAAATTGTGTCACATTACATCAAATGTGGACAACATAATGCTCATAAGTTAAAGCAAATGCTTGACACGAAAATAATTGCAATTCAGTTAATTGGAGCTTTTTATGAGAATTTAGAAATGTGGTCGTAAAACCAAACAAGTCCGACCATAATTTTCAGACTTTTCTGATGATAAAACTTGTGTTTGGTAACCTAGCACTTAAGGAAAATGAGTACAATTATTCTTAAACGTGAAACTGGTCGTTCTATATTTGTAGGATTCCTAATAATTATAGTCTAGAAAAATGCGTTGTTTAAAGAACGTTAATAGATGCGGATATTTCTTCGAACATGGAGATTAAAACCTACTAAGCGGACAATCCCTAGTCTTAATAGAAGCAACTGATTATTTGGAATAAATAAATAGTCAAAAAACGGTCTCTAGTGCTTATGGTGTAAATCTACAAGCCAGCCCATGTCAATGGACGAAATAATTATGCAATTATGCCTTAATAAAATTCTTAAGCCATGCATCCTTAAAACGAAAATTGGCTGCATTTGTTAATCATTTATATCCTGCTTAAATATCACTTTTTGTGCAGATTAAAATTAGAAAAGAGCCAAAATTTTGGATTTGTCTAGAATATGAAAAAAATTATGCAAAATATCGTGTTCTTTTCTTAAATCGAGGTACTATTAGCAATTGATCAAAAATAATTTCACTTTTATTGACGGGAACTGTCTGGATTGATAAATTCTATTATCTTTAAAGATATTTTAGAAATTTAGTTCCCCTTTTAATTGAAAGTGGAAATGAGCATTTAACAACATTGCGAGTTTTCTGAAATGCTTGTGATGTGAATTTCAAATAAATAAACTTATTTCATATATTCCATCCAACTTATATCATTTGCAGCTATGCTAGTTTAAGAACAAATCCCCGATTTCCCGTGTGAAAAATTCTTTAAATGGTTGAACTTACGAAAAAAACCCTTTGCCTGCCCTATGAGGTAGCGCTGACCTTTTTGTCGTGTGCACTGAATTCACTTTTGTTTCTTAAGCATTGGCGGTTTGGTGTTCCTTCATGTAAGATTTTCCTTGACATATCTATTTGTTGATTCATGTATTTAAATCCAGAGCAGCCATAATTGCTATCAATTTGTACAATTTTCTTCAATACTCCTATAACAGCCAAACTTAGGTCGTTTTCTAAGGATTTGTCAAGTCTTTCTTAATGCCTACCTTTACATTATTATTATAGTTTAGACTCTGTATTGTTGTCTAGGGTATGAAATCTTATTAATAAATGTAAGACATATTCATGAGTTCCTAACTTCACAAAACCCGCAATTAGGCACACGTCTCAGTTTGGGCGTTTGCAAAATAAATGAAGATGCTTCATTGATGCACTATGACACAAGTTGTGGAGCACATCTAAACCCCAAGAAAGGTAATTTACTTTAAGTAACTCGAGGATTGCCTAATATTTGGCACTGTGTCTGTATGCTGAATCTCTCAGAAAGTCTAAGTTCGTCATGTGTTTAGGGCATCAGCGTCCACACATTTTCCTGATAACGGTTGTACGAGGCCTGATGCGGTTCAAGTAATCGACTTTGGCACAGAAAAGGGCCGCTCTCTAGTTACCACACGCCCTATTCAAGAAGGCGAGGTTCTCTTTTCCGAGCGGCCTCTCATTTGCTGTCAATTCTCCTGGAATCGCCTGGATTGCTACAAGAGTTGTGACTATTGTCTTCAGCCGTTGGAGTCACCACAGGACAACGCCCGCCGTCTCCTAAAGGATCCTAACTTCAGCCTCCCCGCCGTCCTCGGTGCGCCTGATGGGCATTTTTCTGTACAAATCTTTTCCTGTCCGTCCTGTGGTGTCGAATACTGCAGCGAGGCGTGTCGTGCAGCCTCCGCGGACGAATATCACGCGTTTGTTTGTTGCACTGACAAAGACAGCGCATTCGACAGACTCGATCAGGAATGGCGCAACTCCCATTTCCCACCCGAGACCGGCACGGTAATGCTCCTCGTGCGAATAGCCGCCGCGCACTTCAGTGCCCACTTCCGACAAAGCGCTCGAGCCCGCCACATTGTCACTTCGCTCTCGCGATTCGTCTCCTCGCTACACGTCGAATTGCCCTGTGCCGACGGAGATGGACCCAGTGGTTCTACCATCTCCCTAACACACAGATTAATGGGTCCCAAGTTCTCGGGAAGTCTCGCCCGTTTGCACACACTCTTTTTGGATGTGCTGGGTGAAATGGCTCATAGAACGGGTCTTATCACATCGCCGTCGGAGGTGCCCAGCGTACTGCACCAGGTTGGGCTGCAGTCAATGCTCTCAGAGTACGGATTCTGCTCGTCCATGTGTCTGATTGGTCGCAACGGCCAGGGTATTGGAACTAGCTCTCTCGGCACCTGGGGCAAGGTTGCCGAGGCCGTTGTGAAGGCCCGAGGGGACCCCGATGAGGAGAAGCAGTTCTCTGACTTTCTTGACTTGCTTTATGAACAGCTCGATGAAACAGCTGGTGAATTCCTCAATGTGGAGGGCGTCGGTTTGTATGAGTTGCAGAGTAAGTCCTCAGTGACATTCGTGCTGCGTGTCCGTGTAGGTTGCTGCAGATCGCTGGATGTTGATTTGTCTTGTGGTATCTGCTAATAAGCTTCCCACGTAAATAAGCCATTTTTCATTGCATGTTCATAACAACTGGTTATCGTACAAATACCTTGACGCGTCTCTTCGGTTCGTTCGTAGCAGCAGTGCTTTGTCGCGACAATCCACAGAAATGGCTTTTGGGCGTCCAAGGAATATCGTAAAAGTGCGCGTCATATCGAAGTAGTCTTTGCCTCGTGCGGGACTTGAATTGTTCTGTCGAGTTTCGGCGAATCAAATTAGCCAAATCATGTACTAGCATCCCTGTGAAGTAGCATGTTTGCTTAGCGACGCCTGGACTATTTCGGCAATTACGCTGACACACGTGATATTGTTGTGTGCCTTGTAGGTCAGATCAACCACTCCTGCGAGCCGAATACGTGCGTGCGTTTTGAGTCCGGCAACAGTGAGTTGTCGATCGTGGCGAAGTCGGCGATCTCAGCGCCGGGCACTGAAGTGACCATCTGCTACTTCGACGAGTGCATGCTCCTGCGCGGCGTGCATTCACGCAGGAAGTATCTGCGCGAGCACTACGTCTTCCTCTGTGAGTGCACTCGGTGTGTCAGGGAGATGCAGACGTCTGGTGAGGGGAGCACCACAACTGACGAGGAGGAAGAGGAAGAAGAAGAAGCCATGAGCGACTGATTTTTGTTGTACATAAATCCAATTTTCGGTACTTCGTCTCTCCTTACTCCCACTCTGTTTGTGTGTGTGTGTGCTTGGCTGTTTTAAGGAGAAGTAAAGCACAATATCTGTGATGCGTTGGACTGATGCTGTGTTGTTGCATGTGAACTTTGTGAATAAGTCGGGATGTCCATATCATCAGTTTTAGCAGTTTACTTACGTGGTGCTCCACAAACTCGATTGTTCCCATTTGATCTGAAATTTTCCTCCTTACGATAACACCTCAGTTTGTAAAAGCCGGGAATTCCGTTTTTAAGCAGACCACTGCTCTCAGCGTGGCGTACTAGCGACTTCCAGCTGCGCAAAGCTGAAATTAGACTCCTCTAAGCTAGTATGCATTTCGTGTACTGCCTAAGGGAGCTTTATTGTGCACGCACTGCTGTTATTGTTATTATTTCAGCGCAAGTAATTTCAGATTGATGGGCTGCTGCTTCTCAGAGCCGCCTCCCGATGACGACGTACGTCAGCCCAGTGCAGAAGAGAGGCGGCGCCTGCAGGCCGAGGCAGCTGAGCGTCGTCTCAACCAGGCCTCCAGCCGAGGCATAGCGAATCCCGAATCCGTCCGACGACGTCAGGAGAAGGCCAACGCGTTGGACGCCTTGGAAACCTCTGCTGGCGGCCAAGGCAACGCGGGTCTTCGCTGGACCGTGTCCCCCTAGCTCTTGTTGACGCACTCCTGTCTCGTTTAAACTCACGCACAATGGCTAATTTTGTGATATCAAGATCAGGGACCTTGTCATCAACATGCAAACTCGCTTTTTTTCTATATCCTAGTAAGGACATCAACTATTTGCTTTGAGTAAATCTATTTGTTAATGTCGACTCTGGTTACTCAATAATCTCCTCCGTTCTCCTCCTGATCGTTTGCACTTTTTGACCAATAATCCCGATTGCTATTCGATATACTCTGTGTTATTGAAATACTCACGGGGTCTATGTGGGGTGTTGGTAGACGATGATAAAGTTTATGTAGACTTATGTGTTCCTACAACGTCTTTAACAGCAATGTGACATTCAAAAAATGGTATGAGACGCCCAGACAGTGCGTACTCGTGATGCGAAGCAGCTGATTGGATGTAAGAGGAAGAACCAATGGGATTGGATTCACCAGAGACACGCACAAACACGGACTACAATTGACTTGAATATCGGTAGACAGCGAGGACCGACAACAGGCCAACGAGTAAGCACACGGTTACACCTCTTGGAAGCCGGAAAGCGAAGATTGTGGAGATCGCAAGTGCACTGACAGCCACCAGAGTGGCCAATGGGAAGGTTGGCGACTCGGACGAGCAGGCAGCTTCCACGTTTTCGGCCACAGTTTCTTTCAGGCGCGCCTCCAGGCTGCTCAGCCTACACCATACGGCTTCTTGACCTTCACAGAACTTGGTGGTTAGAGGAGTCAGCAGTGAAGAGGCGGTGTCGTTGCGGTAGAAGAATCTCAACGCCAATTCGTCGTTCTGGAGTTTGTGCAATTCCACAATAATTGCACTTGCAAACGGTGGCAAGATTCTAGGAAGAATAGGTTGTGGTGTGGTTTAAATACCTGCGCCCAGGTCAACACGGTACTACAGCACAATCATTCAGGCATCAGAACGTGATTGGTTCCAAATGCGCACTACACAGACCATGCCTGAATTGATTTAATGAGCTCGCGCTGTTAAACATTAAAATGTTTGTTTTAATCGACATCTACTAAAAGCGGGTTTCTTAAAGTAACCTACGAGCTTACTTGTTGAACATGCCAAGGTGGCTGAGGAAGGCGGCAAGGGTTGAATCGTGGGCGAAATAGGCAATTATCCGGCTGGTTTTGGAGAGTGGAATGTCTAGAATGTCTGAGCCGTCGATTTCGGGGTCGGGGGGACTTGCCTCCTCGCCCGCCAGCTGGAATCGAAGAGTGCGGACCAAGTGGAGCCAGAGGGGGCCGCCACGAAGGTAAGTTTGATCGGGACTGACAAAACGAAGTTGCTGCTTGAAACTGAGCACCCGGTGGCAGGCTGCGACGAGAGCTGAGCTAAAGGGAGGTCGCGAGCCTCCACCAGCGCTTTCCAAATGGCTCCAGACGAATATCGGCTCGCATAGCTTCCACGCCTCTGGCAGGTGATGATGAAGGGCGTTGAAATCAAATTCTGTGTCTATAAGGGACAATGAAGTTTACTAAGCCTGTTCCGAAACTCAATATTGACAATTTCCAGACAAGCCTGTGCGTGTGGAAGTGGCCAGGGGTATTTTAACGATTAAGTAACTGCATGACTAAATAGATGAGACTATATAACCGTTGATTCCGCCATCAAAGTCAAATAAATGCAACTGACCAATGAAATGAAGCAGTTGAGTAAGCGTCAGTAAGACCAATTGTGACCCACCTGTAAATTCTTTGAGGTCCTCAAATAGTTGCCTTTCACCATTAGCAAAGTCCTTGGCCAGATTGGAGTTGAGTGACTGCCTCATCAGTCGTTTAAAAGCAGGACATGGACTCGACATCTTGAGCAGCGAATCATAGCGTTTGGGAGTGGAGAATACGGCTGAGAGTAAAGGCAGCTCATTCGAGGCATTGAGTTTGAAACCGAGTCCGAAGTAGGCAGCCGAGAGAAGTGTTCTTTCGGTTCCTGTGCTCCGAATGTGAACATCTTTCTAGCGTGGAACAAAAATCTCACTAATTCTGATCAAATTAAGCCTATTAACTTGGTCAATGTTGATTTTCTACAGAAGTGCACGCTTAGCAGTATTGAAGTACATGTGATTTATGCATGAAATGTCAATTCCAAGCTCATTTACGTAAATCAATGTATGGGGTCAGTAAACACCTGTAGTAAAGCGTGAAATGACCTTTGCCCGCATTATTTTCCAGACGAAATGCATACCCTGTAGACAGCATATGATTGAGGCTTGAATCACATACCATAAAGTTTGGAATTGGTTTGCAAAGTGTTCCATCAGGCCCAAATTTATGAGCCCAAAAATGTAACATACAGTCATAATTTGCTAAGGGCACTGACTGTTTCCGGAAATCCTCATGCCAACTTGATGGATTTGGCCAACAGTTAGTTCAAGTAGTGACGAGATATGAGCATACCTGATTAAAATTTGTCGATGTAAAAAGACTTGAATAGCGTTCGCGAATGAATTGTCCCAGTTCAACGTGCTGTTTTGCACCACCCACGGTTAACTGGCACGTATTGGATAGGAATTTTCCTGGGTAGTCGGGATGATGGAGATGATGACAAGGGTACCTTTCACCATGTCTGGCCAAAAGGAAGACAGAAATGAGTTTTTCGCTTTGTTGTTCACCTCCAACGAGACATAATACAAGCGAAAAAAACCAAAGCACTTGTTGCCAGACCATCGTGTGTCGCGAGGAACCTAAACAATGAAATATCATGATTTTGCATAAACCAGCTAACAGAGAGGGCACAGAGTCCTTATTTTGAGCATTAAGGAAAAGCCTATGATCGAAAAAGGAAAAAAAGACGGGTCAAATCCTGATGCCTAAACTTGAAATTCACGACGTAGAACTCAACGGACTATTTTATGACTACGAAACCGTGACGGTAGGCAAGAAAATATTGGGTTCTATGTTAACACCTTGGTTGAATTAAGCAAAAAATAACTAGTCGCACTATTAGATTTGATTACGTGTCCACTGAATTTCGAAGTCGAATTTCCTTTATCTTTAAACGGTTGAGTAATTTTCCCCAAAAGTGTTACATTTTCACTGTAAGTTCCAATCATTCTAGCCACTTCTAACGATAAGGGCATAAGAAACCGTGATGGTTAAAAAACTAGTAGGAAAAAACCTCGACCCCACCTAAGAACACGCACCTTAAATCTCCATAATTGGCTTAATGGAAAATGCTACGAAAGGTGTCAAGGTAAATGCTTGTGAATAAATAATTGGTTTAAAGTAAAAGAGGCATTAGGCACAACTCGGCGTCTTGGATTAAAACACAGGTACTGTCGAATGCCTGCACAAAAATCTGCAAGGCACGAAATATGTTGACGTCTCCTTTAAACAGTTTTATTTAAAAATTCAGCACATTGAGCCCAAAAATAATTAAAGTAAAATGACTTATTCATGTTGAGGCTCTACTCTTAAAAAAACAATTCCATAACATGGCTTTAATAGTAGCTGTTAGCTTTGCGCTTTATTTATAGGTAACCAATGTTTTTTTATTATTATCTTGATTGGAAATTTAATTTTTTTATTATTTCCTTTATTTTAAATTCGTGATTTATATAGCTCTCTATATGATAGGCCTATCCAACAAAGTATAGGAAAAAATTATTTAGTTAGAGGAAATTCTGGCTTTATTGTGGAGGTCAAAGTAGGTTAAAATTCTGTGGCATAACTGTTTGACTAACGATGATATTCATAATGTTCTAAAGAGCATTTGGTTGAACTCTTACGATTCCGGATTACTTTATAAAGCGGCTTAAATTCGATTTGGTGTTGAATCTATTTTTTTATTTTACGGACGAATAGTAATCATAGGCTTTTGGCTCCCATAGCATTTAATTTTTTTTTTCATTTATCCTGTCCAGGTTGACAGGCAAACAAAAAATCAAGTCGCAAAAATACAAATGATGCTACTTTCACAATTTTATGTATTGCTCGTTTACATGGTGTATATAAGACTAACCTCAGTTAATGCAATATTCTGCATTTATTTATATTTTTGAAAATGTTATAAATATTCTAAATGCGTTTTGTCTTAATTCGAAACACAGACTGTTCAATGAAAAGAATTCCTTCGATGCCATCTGAACAAATTTTTGATCTATACCTTCTTATTTTTTAAGGGAAAATAATGTATTTCATAATGAAATGCAAGCGAAGAATGCTTTTTTTAAGATAGAATTTGATGGAAAATTGAGATGCTCCCCGGTTTTTAAAGGTGTCTTCATTTATGCCGCGCGTTTTTTTACTTTTGGGCTGTTTTTGCTTTTAGCTGCTAGATTGTTTCGAGTAAAAATTTTGAGGTTGTTCTGATCAGGCTATGCTTTCTGGCATCAAAGTACTAGAACTGGCGGGCTTAGGGCCAGTAACAATGTGTGGTCTTTTGCTTAAGGATTATGGTGCATCCGTGAGTCGAATCCTCAACCCCAATGTAACTAATTTCGACTTAATGAACGTTTAAGGCCCCATTTGTGGATCACCTTCTTTCTCCTGGAAAGCCGGTCGTTGCATTAGATCTCAAGAACTCGTCAGACAGACGAACCCTTCTTGATCTCTGCAAGAGTGCTGATGTGCTTCTAGATCCCTATCGTCCCATGTGCCTTGATCGCCTCGGATTTCCTCCAGAGGTTCTTCATAAAGCTAACAAACGACTTATTTTGACGCGTATTTCAGGCTACGGACAGCCTCGTAAGTTGCATTGGTTTTCCATTGCTAGTTTGTGTTCTAGTATTAATGGCATGACCTTTCTTACAGAAGAAAATGAAGAAATCGACTACTACCTTCGGCCGGGCCACGATATCAACTACCTGGCCGAGTCTGGTTTACTGTGGCTTTTTACAGGAGAAACTTCCGGTCGGCCTGTCCCCCCTGCTAATATTATTGCTGACATCGCGGGCGGTGCATTTCCGGCTGCAATCGGTATTTTGTTAGCGCTCTACGAAAGAGAAAAGACTGGTGTTGGTAAGGTATGTAAGACTGTGTTGCTGCTGGTGCAATGAAGCACGCTTCCAAGGTACAACATGGGTGTGTTTCTTTTTTAGATTGTCGATGTTGGTATTGCCGATGGCGTTTCGTACATGTCAACTTACTTTCTCGCCTCGTGCCAAGTTAGTGATCAGAAAGCCTCTAATACGCCCTTCTCCTTAATGCACTGGTCTACTCTTGCGCACCAGTGTTCAAGTTTTGTGGATGGTGGAGCTCCGTTCTATCGCACATACGAAACCAAAGATAAGAAATACGTCGCTGTTGGTGCCCTGGAACCGCAGTTTTATGCCAACCTCCTAAAGGTAAGCTTGGCCATCCATTCTCTTGTATTGGCTGTAGCACATGTAGTTACAAATTAAGTTTCCCTGATGCATCGATTAATATCTAAGCCTCTTTAGCAAATATTTGTATGTTGGCGTCAGTGAACTCACGAAACCACGTTGACAAATACACCTGGGCTGTATCAGAACTGACGCCTGTCATATCAGGGCACAGTAAATGCTCAGTGCGATGTACTTTCCATTGTAGCATCTTGTAAACTATGATTACTTCCTGCAATGTCTCATTATCTCAATCGGTAAAACGCTGATTGGCTCATTTGGAACAAGATATCTGTTAATTTTTGTCAGTTTGGCCGTTATCATTAAATTCCTTGGGGTTTGCCTTTTAATACAGCAATTCTTATCTTGCTGATGGTACCACTTCACCATCCCATTGGCAGCTTGAGACGGCGTAGGCTGCTGATGCTTGTCTGGTCCCATTTGATGTTGTGCAAATGTGACAGCAACGTAATCCATATCGGCGTGGGCATGATCATGCTTCTCTTGTGCAGCTTTGGCTTTGTTCCGCTGACGCTGTAGACGGCCGTTTCAACAACAAGCTCTTCGTGAGCAGCATAACCACGACACACCTCAAATTTTTCGTGTGCACTATTGTTAAAATGGTTGGCATTTGTCGCCATCTTGCAGGCGAATTCTGCGCTTTGGGGGTCGTATTTGCGAATGTCGCGTTCCAAGTACCGTTGAGAATGTGACGGAACGAAAATGACTCGTGGCTTATGACCAGCGTGGAAGTTGATGTGATGAGCGTACTATGACGCTGGTAAAAATTTGATAGCTAATTTACACAAAGAGCAGATAGATTGAGGTCTGTTTGAGAAAGTGTAACAACGCTCACGATTTCCGATACACCGATTATCAGCTGGTCCTCGTGTCACACGCACGGGGGAGTCAGGGCAACACTAATTTCACCGTCAATTTTAACTTTTTGAGAAGTTCTTTGACGCCTTTCTCACCAACCGGACTCCCATGAGCGCTGAAGGTGTCGTAGCCTCAATCGGCAGAAACCGGTACTTTGGTGAGTAAGGTCAAGTGAAATGCGTCTAAGTTCCACTAAGACCCTTCGTCTGGTTGTTTGAGGTTAATCGATCGTGGGCGTCGGAGTCTTAGCCAGTTGACGAATTCGAATTACCGACTGCTTGTCCGTAATTGGACGAAAAACATGGAAGAGGCGAACTCGTCGATGGCATTCGTGTAGAATCGAGATGCTTTCAGCCCCAATTGGTGTCCTGACCTGCCTAACAACACCAGACCTCACCAAATCTTTGAGATAATGAACTGCGTTTCTTGATAGCGATGTGTCAGTGTGTTTCAGCCACAGGTAACATTTGAAGAGCGAATGAGCCAATGGGACGAGGGTGGTCAGTGTGATTATGTTAGTTGGTGCGAATGGGCCCAAAATCACTTAGGGGACATTTAAACCTGCCAATTATGCGAGAGGGATGTAGCCCGAACTGCACCAACACCCTTCGACTTTGTCTCATGTGATTTTAACAAGTCTCTAATAATCCCGCGAATATGTCAGCTGTAGCCTTACTTTCATATATCTTGAAAATGCGCCCACATACGTAGCCCATGGGTGTCCTTGACAGATGACATTTGAAGAGCGAACGGGCCAATGGGATGAGAGCGGTCAGTATGATTAAGCGAGTTGGTACCAATGAGCACAAAGTCACTGAGAGGATACATTTAAAATTGCCAATTATGCGAGAAGGATGTAGCCCAAATTGCACCAACACCCTTCGACTTTGTCTCAGACGCCCTGGACGTTTGTATTCACAAACACCAGGGAATCGGTCGTTATGAACTTTTTCTTGTTGAGGGATTACCAGTCTGTTCGACAAGCAAGACAGAAAAACAAATTCCTTCCTTACTGTGATTTGCACGTGATGCTCGCACATAATTTGAAGATCCGTGCGACTTTGGAGGTGGTTAATCTGGAGCAAGAGAACGCCCAAATACACTAGGTGATTGGTTCAGTAGCTACACCCGGGGTCTCTGTTGTCCGGAGAGGTAAGCTTAATGGACCATCGGATATCCCTAAATAAATCGGCAAGGGCCAGATTTGCAGGCCACCGTACGCACCCTCGTGGCTGTCTCTTACGTGGAGGTGCACCTGTAGACGAAAACAATAGTCCTCCAGTGTGGATTTATTGGTTCCGTGGCTCGCGAATCGAGTGCCAGGGTAACAATGCTTGGTGAATCGATGTAGACAAGCAAGATGCTCTGGCGTTTATGTCAGCCACTCAACACAACGTAGCAGCAGGTTCGACAGGCCACCTTATCGACAACTGCTTTCAACTAAACCGCGATCGCATAAAAGCCGTCAGTAACCACGATAATTGCGACAGCACGACCACTTTGTGCTAATCCAACGCGGTACCAGAGGAGCAGTTCTTGCTTAGTTACCTCAATTTGAGCCTCTACTATTCACCAATTACACAACATGCCTCGCACCTATTGTAAAGTGCAACCCACTTTTCAGGTTTAAATTGCATTTGATGGCCGCGTTAGCCTTGTTGTGAATTGTGTTTATTCACTCCCCTTAATCCGGTCGCTCCAGCCTCCGACACAGGGTTCCCCTTTTCGCAGCATGTCGCCAGCCGCGCGGATTCTCAACTCACCCTCACACCTAGATCTCGGTGTTAGCGCATGTATGACTCACACATCGGAGGCATAAATGCACACGCGCAAACCCTACACACGAGACAACGATGACACCGACGAGGTTGAGCTCTGAAGTAAACGGTTGTGTCCACATCTTCGCCGATCTTTTTCTTCATCGCGTGCATCAGACAAGCGTAATCGGGTCAGGGTTAATTCCGTGGCCCCGGCATGGTTCAGGACCACAACAGCATCAGTTTACGTGACCTCTCGTGTCCCCGTGATCCAGTGTATCCGATTCGCTTGTCTTGTCTTCGGTTGAGTGGAATTTGCTAAAAACGGTACTTTTTTAAACTCTGGTTCGTATGATGTCGAACAATTTGCAACTTGTATCAATATTTTGGCAGTTCCATCTGTACCTCCGTTTGTCAGGCTTTTTTGTCTTATTTTAAACCTGCTTTGCTGCCTAAGCACACTAAAAATAGTGCCGCTTTATAAATGACACGAATTGCCTCGCCGATTGACCAATTGAAATTAGATTGTGTGTGGCGACCGTACTCACACACACACTCAGCTTTGAGTATTCATTCTGGAGATTGGTGTTACTCTGCTTTTATCAAAGGTGACGCCTTTCAACCGACTCACGCACACACAGGCAATGCCTCGCGGAAGACAGTGGTACTTTTAAATGATCTCTACATTTGGACCGATGTAAATGCGTAACCGAAGCTAGTATTGTTTCGCTACGTAATCGGTCGAGTCAGGTGCGTCCACTTATCCATCTTAGTCTGTGGATTTGAGTTGGCAGCGTGACTGTAGAGCTGCGTGGACCGGCCTGAGTAACTGGAGGTGTTTTAATTGACACGCGTGTAGGCCCTGGGCCTGACGGAGAGGTACGCGCCGCAGCTGGACCGGGCGGCGTGGCCACGCATCGCAGCCATCCTCGCGGGCATCTTCGCGAGCGAGACGCGTCACTACTGGTGCCAGGAGACGGATCTGGTGCGTTGCGCCTGCCTCTCGCCCGTCTACTCGCCTGCCGAGGCGATCGAGCGACGCCCCAGGCACCTCTACCGCCACCTCAACTTCTCGCTCTCGCCTCTGGTTGGCGCGACTCGTGACGAGGGTGCCTTCACCATCCGCATCCCCCGGCCCTGCCCCCTCCTCTCCAACTTCCCCACCGATTGACTTCTTCCTGCTGCTGCTGCTGCTGCTGCTGCTGCTGCTGCTGCTGCTGCTTGTGCATTTAACACATCGGCTACGCTGCCTCTTACTCCGTTTTATTGACACACACACATATATATACAATGCATTTTACTTGGCGTGACTTTGAAATAAACATTGTTCAGTTCCCATCTGTCTCTTTTTTGTGGCCTGCTTGCTCGCGTTTTCCACGCTATGGCCGCTTTTTTGCCAAATACACTGTTTCGCATCGAGCTGAAGTTACCACGATTCCTCCGTGATTTGACGTCGTTTTTGCCAATTGCTTCCAAATGCCTATTCATTAGGTGCGGTTTTTAGACGTGTGAATCGGCCAGAAACAGTTTAGTCACCTTGGATGTAATCCCATCGAATCAGCACGATCCAGCTTTCGATGTGGTTTAAGCTGGTTCATCGACTGGTTGATTGATTGATTGATTGGTGGTAGTGTCAGTTCAAGATGGTTCCTCAACCAATAATCATCCACTAATTGCCACCAATGGTGCAAGATCGGGCCACTTTACATTTTGACATACTCAGGCCTTTTTGTGGTTGGCAAAAGTGCGCCTTTGTTGCGTCAATGCGTCGCATTTAGTTCATTTGCGCCACGAACGTTTGCGTCCTCGCACACCCCGACTTGTGATTGGTCAATGCCGATTCGTGATCTCATTGGCTAGTGGCTATTCTCACTTCCCATTTCACCGTATAAAAGTATCGATTAAGTACAGTGATTTACAGTTTTGACGATTACCTTCATTTAAGCGAATAATACTGACTGACACTGGATGATCGCCTTAGGACCAACTCAAGGTTGGGTAAAGGTTTTGACAAACGAAGGTTGATAGGCAGTTCCGAGATGCTAATCGCTAAACTTGGGTTTTAAACCAAATCAAGATTTTGACATTTGTGTTTTGGCCAATGAAATAGCGAATCGGTAAGAGCCACTCACAAACTCCGTCTGACAAGGCGTGTGCTTGATTGGTTCGCAAGTTGTCAAATGCCGAGAGCCGATTCGTTGCGGATCAAACTCGACACCCGTAGTTTGCCCTTTCTAGCCGGAAAAATGACGTTAATGGCAGCCTTCGGTTGTGGCCTGATCGCCTTTGGCCCGGTTGGAGTCCTCTTCTTCCTCATCGTCGCTCGCAATCCCCTCCAGGTCATCCTTTTTACCCTTAGGCAAGTTTGCTATTATCAACCCGTCTGGTGCCTTCATGATTTCGACTACTGTCACGCCAAACCACACTGCAACACCCGATTCACCACCGTTTTTGTCGTCTGTAGTGCGTTCTTCTGGCTGGTCGGACTGCTGTTATCGTCCGTGCTGTGGTTCGCCGTGGTGCCACTGCGTGACCAACTTGCCTTCGGTCTGGTCTTCGCGTGCCTCCTACAGGAGGTCATGCGTTTCCTCTTCTACTTCCTCATTTCGTGAGTTTTGACGCTCTACGTGTACACACCTGGAAGTCCGTCAGCACACGACGCTGTTTTTTCTTCCTTCTTCCAGCAAAGCCGAGTCCGGTCTCATGAAGATGGTCGAATCGGAGACTCGAGAGGCCGCTGGCGACTCGAGTTCCACGAGCGGCTCTGATCTCTTACCGTCTGCCGTGAAACACGCTTCCATCTTCGACTATCGTGCCCTCGCCTTTACCTCGGGTCTGAGTTTTGGTCTGATGGGCGCTGTCATCGAGTACGTGTACATCCTCTACGACGTCGTTGGTCCTGGAACCCTTTTGAAGGGTCCAAATCCTGGCGCCTACTTTACCCTCGCCGGTTAGTTGACAGTATGCCTCTCAGTTACCGGGCTTGGTGGTGGTGGTGCGTGTAAAGCCCTATCTGATGTCACCTTTCAGCCCTGGACTCGTGCTTCATGGGTCTTCTCCAGGTCGCATGGTCGGTCATTCTCTTCCGAGCCTACACCCTTCGACGCTACCTCGATATTGCGGCAGTCGTGGCCTTCCACGTGCTTCTATCGGCCCTCGTGAGTTCGACACGCATTGAAATCGGATTTTAAAGTCGTCACAACAAAAACCAACTTCCTAGTGTCTGCAGTTGTAAAATCGGTCGCAATTTGACAAACCGACCGATCGCATTGTCTTAATCTTGAAGTTATACGGCGCCGAGGCAAATTTGCGCCACTTTAAAATCGATTTTGACAGCCAATAGAAATCAGCAGACGAGTGAGCCAATAAAATGAGGCCGAGACTCGTGCGCGGTCGATATAAACTGGTGTGCATCACAGGCACGACGTAATAAGATTGATTTCAAATATATGAACCGCATATTTGGCAAATTATTTTTGTTGTAGTTTAAGCTCAGTTTGCTTATTTGATAGCGCCCTGCCTCGCCACCCTCACATTATTTTCCGTACTTTTGTAAAGTCTTCATAAAATGCCAACTTCCTCGTTCCTTCAGTTGTAAAATCCATCGCAATTTTGCAAATCGACCGATAGCATTGCCTTAATTTTGAAGTTATATGACCAAAATCGATTTTGACAACCAATAAAAATCAATATACGAGTGAGCCAATAAGATGAGGCCTAGAGTCGTGCGCGGTCGACATGAACTGGTGTGCATCACAAGCAGGCCGCAATAAGATTGAATTCCAAAATATGAAGCTCATATTTAACAAGTATTTTAATTATTGTTTAAACTCAGTTTACTTACTACCTGACCAGTTTAAAACATCAAACTTTTGTAGACCCTCCTGAATGATCGACCGTCGCCAGCCCCCGAACTCGTCTGTGCGTCCTTGGCTGTCGCCGTTATTGTCTGTTACGCGTGCGCGTTCTTCGCTGCAGGCGGCCAGCTGACCTTGAGGTCGCGATCGTCGTCTCAAGCCGCCTCCCCCGCCTCCTCTCCCCCCTCCACAACAACCGCCCTTAACATCTAACCGAGTTTTTTCCACACAAACTGAACTGACTTTGATCTGTCAGTTCCTCTTTTTAAGCCGGTCTTTTGTATTTACTAGGTCAAGCTCTCCGGATCACAAATCGTGTAAAATACCACCTACTGCGATCGTAATAGTAGCAACGCTGATCTCGCCTAATTTCTTCGATCGATTTGTATCTGGAATACAGCCATACCACCACTTTCCACTCCAGCCCCCTTGCAATAGGCACTTCCAACATCTGATCACATTTTGTGTATTAAGTGTCCGCGAAACTGTGTAATTTTGTATAGCGACCTCAAACGGTTTCCCTTTCAGATTCGTTGCGTTCTTGCCAGTCTAAATGTGGACAAATATAAGGGCGAAATTCCATCTGATTTTGCTTGCGAATTCTCTTCCCTTTTCCTTGGCAAACTTGTTAAACTAGCTGTAGTTTGGTCAACTACATGGTACAGCTCTACTGATAATAATTAAGTAGCTTATTTTAAGTAGGGTTTTGAGAACGACGTCACTCCGGTTACCGTGGTGTTGTTGACGCTGTAAAAGAGATTATCTGGATCAGATCGGCAAACGTGATTCCAAAACAGTTGTAAAACGTGTGTCTTAAGAACTACCAGCTCAAAGTTCCCGGGAATATTATCGACTCGTTAAGGAACGCGATATTTGGAAAACCCGTTGAAATCAACAATTGTGATGCCTTGGGTATCATTTAAGTTACCTTCGTGTGATTATTTTGCATTGTATTTCCACGAAAAAGATTTGTAATGATTTTAAGCACTGACGTAAATCCAGTAAAATTCCTCTCCATTTTCCAGAGCAAATGGTCAAAAATCAATAATCTTATGTTTGAGCATCGCTCATTAATGCAACCAATCAATCGCCAACACGCGTGCGTGTGCCTGGACTTGCTCGAGTGGCGATCGATCGCCAATTGAATCGATCGGGCCTGAATTCAACAGTAAATCGATGGCACAGTCTCGAATTGCTGTTTTGTTGCGGTTCGGTAAGGCCTGGGCACAATAGAAAACGCACAATTTTTGCAATTATCGTTAACCTCTGAAACCGCCTTTTTCAGCACATGATTTGTTAATGTGAAAAATCAGAAATTAGCACATAGTGACACATGACTCATGAAGAACGCGTGTGTGTGTGTGTGCATATTCTAGACCTCGTTTGCACATTTGTGGTAATTACATTAGCTGTCCCCATTAGTCATAAATGTTTTCAACACACTGGATGTGTCACTCGCTGAATCCCAAGTCACACAGGCGATTCCTGCTTGCAAATTACCCTCGTTTTAATTTGTTAGAGGCCACGGCAGGCGGCCTTGAACCACACCAAGGTCGCCGAGGCTTATTGGTGCTCTGTGCATCTATGAAGCCCTGAGGCGACAAAGACAACGGTACGTTTGGTGGCTTAGCCTACTTGTGGGCCACGCTAAAGTGCACACAAATCGTGTTGAGTGAGCTTGTAAAAGTGCAAATGGGTGAAGGGAGTAGCAGGGTGAAGATACATGCACAGGGGTTCATCACTGCAAGGCCACGCTGTGAAAAGGTGGCCTTGCAGTGATGACCGAGTAAATGGACGTGGATTGGCACAGCCCTCCACGAGTACATTCAGGTCCCGTGGTCTGATTAGTTGAAATATAATCTCAAATCGCTTCTCGCATTTTGGTCATTTGAATTATTAACGATGATGTTGTGTTTAAACAATTGTTTTAATTCACTGATTCCTCAGTAAATCGAATCGTTTGACATCTGAGTCTAATGCTGCCACGTGGTAACCAATCAAAATTCAGGAATGTTAACCTCTTGATTTTGGGAAACAGAATAGTGGTCTTGTTTTAAAATCTAGTCTCTAATGTGGACATTATTCTACTTAGGTGTAATTTTTGTATAAAAACAGCGTCCATGCCTCAAACTTGACCGGTAGGCATTTTTTCGATGCCCTGATTGGTCAAGCCACGACGCAAATAGAAAACACAAGCCCATTTGACAGAAAATCAGTCCAATACGACACCAAAGAGTGAGGGGTGGAAGGCAATCGATTCGGCCAACGTTTACCCCCTGCAGAATCCACCGTCGCACACCCTCCACCCCCCCCCCACCGGGCGATCACCACATTCCGAGTTTAGTTGGCCTAAATTAGTAACCAGATGTGACGACCTCATTCGTGCCGCGGCAACAATACTGTTTTTTCCTCAGTCTACGATGCACTCGTGTTCAGCCAATCAGCATTGTTCGTGGCTGCGTCAAACTTTCTCAACGCATGACTCTTCGAAACCTCCTATTTCCTTCAACCTACATGTAATCCATTTAGTGGGGTCGTTGCTAACTGGCTGATGATCGTTAGAAGGCACGAGGCCAATAAATTTTAACCTGCACCTGTCACTGAATTCGTGAAAACTAATCAAAGTGATAATTAAATTGCGATAAGAGGTCACTGGGTGATTTGGCCGTTATCGCGGCACCTCCGAACAGTCATAAAATTTATCTCTACTCACACTCAAGCCACTTAGGAAAATTTCAACTCAATTTGTGATAAAAAGCGTCTTTATTGGTGGATTGAACTGTGAAATGATTTGTAGTGTCAATAGCCACGTAAGATATAGCTCCACCAATCATTCAGTTGGGTGACGTATCTGACCAATCAAATAGGGATTTTGGATAACTTAATTCGATGATCCCTTTGTTTCAGCAAACAAACAAATCTTCCCGACTGATTTTCGTAGCTTGGGCGATGCGGAAAACTTGACCTTGTTCAGATCAGTACTTTCAGTTTAAAAATCGATAATTTAGTCTCAGGTGAATTGGCAGGCCAGCGGCCTTCACAAACCAACCAATCAAGTTGCGCATTACTTGAATACTTATTTGGATACTAAGTTCAACCAAGCATTATCCGGCTTCGTCCTTTTAACTAATGTGACGAGTCGCCTAGTTAGGAGACAGCTGTCCCTCCGCCGCCCCCCGCTGCATATCAACTTTTTAGAATAGGCGCACTCGCCACAGCGCCACAGTTACTTAAAATGGCAACTTGCCTGGACCAGTCTGACTCAGCCCACCAATCAGCACGCGGAACCGTTCGCACAAAAACACCGTTGCCCACCCCCGCCCCTCCACACCCTGTCACACCTTGTCAGTGCAATCCTCGCCCTCCAGGTGTGGCCATGAGACAGTGGAAAAAATTAAAAGTACATTTGACAAACACCTCGGCATTCCGATACCACCCCAGTGTAATTATTAGCTTGTTTAAAACTGCACTTATAGAACAACAAGTTTTCACGACCGACAGTCTCTGTTTCTGAAGCACGACATGAATCAGTGGTTTGAATTTTGAAATTCGTGTTCCTTCAACAGTTTATCGTAAATTATTGGAGTTTTCCTCTACCCAGAATCTGAATTTAATCAATATCCGTATTGATCTTTTAACGAAAATCAACCCCGAAAAAAGGGCGGACAACTCGGCCCGATCATTCCATAGAAAATTGGATCGATTTAAATTTGGCGCCCAAGTATGTTCATGCTGACCAACCACAAGCAACGACGCCATTCCATTTGTAGCCACAGTTGGCAAAATTGTTTAGTGTGATGTTTTGCGTAATGAGGGACTGGCTTTCACACAAGGTTCCAACAGATTGCTAAACACGAGCACATTTCGGCAGAAATTTCGACCTCGTAATTCGGATATTGTATTGCACAAGACTGAAACGCGGGCGGTCTTGTCAAACTAGAAACTGCAACGAAAGCGCACACGACTGGTAAGAAGTATTTGCATTAAAAACCCCAGATAACCAAACATGATCTTGCGAAGGTCAATTACTTGCAATAAAGTCACACCGTTTATACCGACTGAGCCAATCGCAAACACGATTTAACAGCCAATGGCTGCAGAGAACCCAAACAGGAGGGCACTTAACTAACGATGCAATCTTTAACCACTGCGATAGCTTCTCAGGTAAGCCAATTAGCGGAACTAGTTGGATATGAAAATTTTATCGATCTTGGAGCACTGTACAGGAGGGGGGAGTATGTACACATGAGTTTTGGCGGGTGTGAAAAATCTGTCTGAGCACAAGGTCACGCGGCGACGGCGCCATCATTGCGGGCGTCGGGCTGAGGTGGTGATCTGGAGGTGTGGGGGGCGTCGTCTTGACTACTCACCCCCTCCCCGCGACCTTGAGATCACCACGAGAATGAAGGTCGCCGCCACGAGACAGACGGTCGTTATGACGCCCGGTGAGCAGCACCAGCGATGGTAGAGCCGGTGGAAGAAAGGCCGTGCCTGTGAATGCAGGAAAAACGACCTGTTGATTTATAGCAAACAATTGAAGGAGTCTTTACATTCCAACAGGCGACACTCCTAGCCGCCGTTGCGGAACTGATAATTTACCAACCTGACACCAGGAAATGTACTGTTAGTGGATTGTCAACCACACCAGTGATGACGGAACCAACTCCCAACGTTCCACGAACCATCAAGATCGCAGACCGCGATGTTGATTGGAACTCGGATGCAAGCAAGCAACACAAGAGGACGATTTCACTCATTTTAAGAGGACTTTTTCTTCGCCAAACAAAAAATTCGTCTTCCGTCTAGCGGTAGTCAGTTCACCTCAAGAACTTGAACCAAATGCGTTCTTGAGATTGCTCCACTTTCAGGTGACTTCAGACCTGAGAAGTACATGCCACCAACTTCCCGAACTGACAGCCTTACGGATGCGAGATCCATTCCACTACAGCTGCCGTCGTTGGCTCATTAAAGAAGCAACCGCTGCTTGACTGGACTTCAGTCACCAGTTCGGCTCTTGGACTATGGCATCAGGCAGCAACGCAGGCTCTGGGGCATTTGGGTAAGTTTACCAAGCCCGACCTTGAAATTTTGCAGCGTCATTCGAGTCATGACAGGGGTGGCTTCGCAGATTATGGACTAAAGTTGCGGCAGAGTAGAACAAGCACCTCCAGATATTCGACTTGCTGGCCTGGTGCATTAAGTGGTGGTTTGTTGGTCCAAGTTGCAGAGATTAGACGCCGAAACTGTGTCACGTGGGCGTCATTTGAACGAGCCAACCCACCACCCCGGTCTGCGCGTCCCCTCCACTCGCACAGGTCACCTAATTGCCGACTCATCACATCTTAATTGCCCGCCTGACTGGACGCTGTCACGTCACGAGGGTGCCAACACGGCCCCGAGATTCGACCTGTTGCCACGAGGTGCGTGTACAACTCCGGACGTGACACCTCCCTCAGGCGCGTCAATCTCACTTCCGAGTCAAACCCCCTTGTTGCTAGGCCAGTAGCGATGAGAGGGACACGTGACTGGTAATTAAAAAAGGACCACCGTGGCATTACACAACACCCCGGGAATCTA